AGCATTTTCAAAGGGGTAGTATACCCATGAAGATCTCAAAATAAATTCATATGTATTATATATGAATCATACCCATGAGAATCATCATTTTAATTGGATTCTTTGGTATTTTTGAAAATGAATGAATAACAAAATCTTTAGCAATTTGGATATGCATCTTAGGGACACGTTGAAATTAGCAGAGACAAAGTCAATACTCTGAACTGAGGCTGAGGTGCTGAATATACAAGGGCAGCACAACTGATGGAGGTTATTGACCTACCATCAATTCTAGGGTGATGGTGTTTTATAGATGAGTCATAGAAAGAAAATGAATGTTTTTCGGGATAAAGATGATATAGTACATTAGAGGGTTTTATTGTAGTGATGGGGGCAAGATACGTCAGAACTAGTCTCTCACCTCTTCACTCAGAGGTGGAAGCGTTAATATGGGGATGGGCAATGTAATATGAAAAACTTGCGTTAGTTCCAAGTTATATTTACAATGAATTATTTTCAATTGATGAAGATAGTTTCAGAACCAGAAGAATGACCAGGTTTTGCAAGTAATTTGGAAGCTATTAAAATTCAGAAAAAAAGTTTTCTCAACTCAGAACTTATTCATGTATCACAAAGACATATAATTCATGGACGGACAATCTAGAATGCAGTGTCAGAAACACAATTGTCTTTCATCGTTTATATAGATGCAAAGTTACCACTAAAGTCAGAATGAGTTTGTTTATGTTGATGATAAAATAATATATTCTGTTAATACTATTATTTAATTATGAGTCTTTTAAAACTACGGGAAATCCAACTGATTATATTATAAATGAGGTATTTTCTATTAGGTTTCCATAATATTAAGAATCGTATAACTAAATACTGATATTAATATATATATATATATATTATTATTTTTTTATTTTTTTTTTGAAATCCCTGTGGGTATATCTTCATATTGGAATGCTCTAACTCGAGATATAATCTTTCAAGTATAGAGTGCAATAAGTTACCTTTGGAAGTTATCATATGTATATACTCCTTACTTACTGATTTCATTGGATATATATATATATATAACAGGGTAGTCTTGAAGAAGATACACGCACTTTGACAATAATTAAGGTATCTCTCCACATTTACTTTCCTTGGAAATGATCATACGAATACAAAATGCATACATATATATGACCATACATACTTTGAAAGCGGCTTTTGAATTTGCATAAAGAAAGACTTTTGAAGTCTTTCGAACCTTTTGTTTGAATTCCACAAATAAATATCTCTGCGACGCTGAAAGTAAAGGATCTTATTGTTACTGCCGCTGGAAGTAACTTGTGGCGGCGTGAATCTTACTCGTCATATATGCGATATGTGAGAAAGCTGAACGAAACAAAACATGGGCTAGAGATCGAAAATTTGAAACATGAAACTCTTGACGTTGTTTTTGAAACTGTTAATTGTGTTAAAAATTTGGGATATTCTTACTCTATTTTTTAAACAATTTGGGATATTTTTTTGTTGTTAAGTTGTTTATGAAACTGTTAATTGTGTTTTCAGTTGCTGCATCTGTAAACAAAGTGCGTGTATCTTGTAGACAATTTAACAAAATCTTTATATATAACTGTAATTTTCCTTTGTTACATACATTATTTAAATGTTATAACATTATAAATGTAATTTAATAAATACAAAAAATTGGTATCAGATTGTTCAATTTTTAAACCGTGTAGTATTGGTAGTAGCATCAGTTTATGTTATGTGGTGTAACAGTATATCATGCATTTTGAATTTCAGCTCGGAGAAGATAACCGCATATACAATTCATATGATGAAGAAAATTATAACCAATGAATATTTTTATTTATATCAAAAATTTTGAAAATGAAATATCGAGCTACATTCCCCCAAACATCCATTAGATTAAAAACATAGAGTAAATAATTGGGGGTTCGAACGGTGGTAACATTATGTGTATACAAATACATTGGGGGTTCGAACGGTGGTAACATTATGTGTATACAAATACATTGGGGGCAATGCCTTTAGATAGCACACATGAAAATTATAATAAAAAGCTCATTAGTACAGGAGGAGCATAAATTGTTTTTTGAACAACATACTTTGATTAAAGAAAACCAATTCAAAACAGAGGAGTAGAGCCACTACAAAGAGCCCATTTTGCAAGAGAATCAGATATAGAGTTCTAACCTCTCGGAATAAAGGAAAACAGAACAAAGTCGAAACTAGATGATAGAAACTCGACATCCATGAAAATTCCAAAAGCTCCATTGGATAGGTTTTCGAGTTGATTGCTCTAATGAGCACTTTAGAGTCGATTGACATCCAGATATTGGTGAGATAAACATACTGTGCTGCTAGAAGCGTCTCTCGTAGAGAAACCGCTTCTGCAAGGAGAGGTGATTACAAATAGGCGCAACTTGTCAATCCATGAAAAGGTTGTGTCGGATCTTTTGTTAACAAATAGCATTAAAGAAAAATTAAAATAATGAAATTACCCTAAATCTTAAACATTAATCCCACGTTCTAAATATTAACTATAAACACTCAAACTTAATCACTAAATTAACCCAACCTCAAATTTATATATATATATATATATATATATATATATGTAAATTTTAATTTTATTTATTAATATTTTAATTTTTTTTTGTGGTATTTTCAGAATAAAAAGTGTTTTAGTGTATGGTATTTCTCTATCCATTGTTATCACAAAAGTTGATATCATTGATATATCCGATATTTTTATTGGACCAACATATGAGACATGAATTGTCGGCCAAAATGATATATAACTCTAGACTGGATGGAACGGGATACACCACAATGGCTCTGATTGGTAATCATTGTTTAATTACGGAGTCGTGAAAAAAATAATTAAGCTGCAGAAAAAATTAGTTTAAGCTTCAAAATTTTTTATAATGTGCAAAATTGTGGAATACATATTAAATTATTTGACATATTTTATATGATATTTTTTTACCTATAAGAAAACTGATATTAATAATTCAACTAATTATTACAAAATGTAAAAATAACTAAAAGTTATTAAAAATACTTTACTTCGTATTATGAATATTTAGCTTATTTTCAATACGCTTTTAATATAATAGACTGACATCTTATAATATTATAAACCAAACTTTAGTATAATTTTATTTACTACATACCTATATATTATCCAAAATTAATTGTTATTTAATTAAATTATAAAATGATAGTATCATATAACTTTCATAAATGAAAGTGTTGATTTTGTAAATAATTTACTAAAACTCATTTTTTCACTTATTAGAAATTTTCTTTGTAATTTTATCTGCGAAAACCTAAACTTGTATTTTTGCATTTTTCAACTTTTGTAAGAATCCTCGTTTAAACGTCATTCCACAAGGTTACCAATCAAAGTGAATACGTTTGTGTTTATGACAATATCATAAAAGAGTTAATGTTCTTCAATAAATACTAGATGATAACCCGCGCGCATGCGCGGGGTGAAATTTTTATACTAATATTTATTTATTAAATGATTTTTAACATTTTGCAATACTACAATATCTATCGATTATAAAATGATGAATACAAATGTTGGTATCTTAAATTATCATAGGTCTGGACGTTTGAGACTTCGTCGGTTTTGGTTTGATTGAGACATATTTTCAGATTGAAAATTTTATACTAATATTTATTTATTAAATGGTTCTTAATAGTTTGCAATACTACAGTATTTATCGATTATAAAATGATGAATACAAATGTTGGTATCTTAAATTATCATAGGTCTGTACGTTTGAGACTTCGCCGGTTTTGGTTTGATTGAGACATATTTTCAGATTTTGGTATTATTCTCATAAATCCTATTTGAATTTTACTAATTATCGGATTGGATTCGATTTGATATTTTCAATTCAGTTTGGATTTGATTGTAACCAATATCTGAAATTATCCCAAAAATATTTTAAACATGAAAAGTTGACAAAAAATTCAAAATATTTAAACTATTAATAAATCTAATTTAAAATTAGTTAAACTATCTAAACAAACTAAAAGATATTTAAAAAACAAACTACAAAAATCTTTTGAATACTATAAGTTGTATCTACTAACCTCAAACCTTTTCACTGAAATTTTTAAATTAACATATTTATAATATGAATATCTACTAATGATACTTCATATTCGTACGATTTATGATAATTTGTATCTTGTTTGTAAAAAAAAACAAAGTTAAACCATTGATCATAAAATTTTCAATGAGGGATTTTACTATTTTTAGTTATTTATGGTCGTTTTAAAAATTAAAAATATAACCTATAAGAAAAAAATTAATTTTTTATTATATATTTAATATGATTGTTTAATTTATTTTAATAATTTAAAATTAAACAAAAAAGAGAGAGGACACAAAAATATGTATTATTCATAATCATTAATTACATATATATGATAATCATATTAGGTAATTTCGTAGCTTTTATTTAAGGAAATAAAATATATTGTTTTATACCTAACAGAGTTGGTCCCTTACAAAATGTCTATATATTATAGTCCTAAATGCAATAAATTAAATGTTACATTATTTCATTCCTAACAAAGTTGGTCCATTAAAAAATTAAGGCTGAGAAGCGCTGTGAGCTTGACACGTAAGCATGCTCTCTAAGGTTGTGCATTTATGAATGCTTCAGATTAATATATAAGGGATATTTTTCTTTACACTTTAGACGGTCTCCATCAAGAGCTGGTGGATGGTAATAGAGGTTGACATCCATCTCTCTCTCTCAAAATCTTGCTTTAGCCCTCTTATCCGCATCTCATTTCCCCGAAGCTTGTGCATAAAAAGTATCTCAGTTGAGGTTAAATGAGGTTAAAGGACATTGAACGACTATGATTGAGAATGCCATAGAGAGTGAAAAAGTAGTTTAGATTATTAGGACACGGTGTCTACTTTTTATTCTTGTGCCTTCTCTCTTTCTCCTTCTTCATCATCATCTGATTTTCTTTATTTAACCCTACTTTCTTTTCTCTTTTCCTATCGTCTCACTCTTCCTTAACTTTCTCTTGGGATTCGATCTCTTTCCGGTGGCTATTCCTGATGATAACTGTCAAATCTTCTCCATTTTCATAACATCTCCTTTAGGGTTAGCTATCTCCCTCTCTATCTCTCTCTAACTCTAACTCTATAGTGTATTTCATGAAATGGTCGATCTTTGGTAGAACAAGAGAAAGATTCAGTAGAATCTAAACAGATACAATAACTAACTCGGATCTTTGTAAAGGTTTGAATTGAATCTGCCTGTTTCGACCTTGCTAAGGTATAGAGCCTAACTTTCTTTGAAGGTTATTCTCCATCTTTGATCATTTCTCTGCCTCTAGGTTTTGCTCAAGTCAGATATTTCCACAGATGTTTACCTTTTTCTCTTGAAACTTGTTACCTTTTTAAATCATTATCATGATTACAATGATGATCATCATTTATTGCCCTCTCATCCTACTCAATGTTGCCGTTGTTACAAGCTAAGCAAAATACATGAAAGCAGATGATTTTTCCCTGAGATCTGTTATTAGTGAGAAAAATATTTTTTACGAAATGATCAGCCTAAAAATACCAATAAGTTCATATATGCAATTTTCATTATATCCAGCATATTTGAAATTTCTTCGCATGATTTTTTTTCAAAACGGGATAATTTCTTCAGTCTATTACATATGTTCATAAGAAACTATTGATTATTTTATTTATTTCTCTTCCTTGTTAAGAGTACCATGACTCTAATCTTATTTGATGGGCTTATATTTGTATTTTCCATCTTTATGTATATAACTATATATAAAGTTGTTTTTTCACAAGATAAAAAGACACAAACTTTTAGCTAATCGATCACAATTTAATTAGCTGGAAAATCCTTGACACAAATGAATGTATAATTGAATAATATATTTACAGTATATATAACGTTCATGTATGCACATACAGTATGTTTTACTTGTATGGTTTACCATATGTCTATAAGTCCGAGCCATAACCTTAATTAGTATGTGGAAAAGTTAGTTGAGACGATCTATCACTAAATCACATTTGTTTAAGTTAAATTGTTTATCATATTGTCTATAAGTCCGATGGAGCGATAAACCCTAGTTAGTTTCTGAGAGAAGTTAGTTGAAACGATCTATCACTAGATAATATATATATTAAAACGTTCTATAGCAATTCTTAAACTTAACTTCCATTGATGGAAACTTGAACAGTCAATGTTTTCATATCACAAGCAGGTTAATCTCAATACTTGCCGAGATATAAGGTTAAAGGATGAATTCCTTTTCAAATGTACCTCCTGGCTTCAGATTTCATCCAACCGACGAAGAACTTGTAGACTACTACCTAAGGAAAAAGGTTACATCAAAGAAAATAGAAATCGATTTCATCAAAGACGTTGATCTTTACAAGATTGAGCCATGGGATCTTCAAGGTTTGGCCCGTAAATCATGACATCATGTCATTTTTTCTTTAGTGATCGATCGTTGTGTTTTTTTTAGAAAGGCTTATTGTTTTTTTTCTTTGTAAAACTATAGAGTTATGCAAGATAGGAAACGAAGAGCAAAGTGAATGGTACTTCTTTAGCCATAAAGACAAGAAGTATCCCACGGGAACTCGAACCAATAGAGCGACAAAAGCAGGATTCTGGAAAGCCACTGGAAGAGACAAGGCTATATATTTAAGACATGGTCTTATCGGCATGAGGAAGACACTTGTGTTTTACAAAGGAAGAGCCCCAAATGGACATAAATCGGACTGGATCATGCACGAGTATCGGCTAGAAACAAATGAAAATGGAACTCCTCAGGTATATATATTGATCCAAACACATCTTCAAACAATATCTAGTTTGATTGTTCTAGGAAATATCTCCCAAATAATCGATCTTTGTTGAGTACGCTTCTTGAAACGTATATGAGTGATTCACATTAAGACATATGCATAACTTTTATGTCTGGTGCAGTTTATCCAAAGTCCAATGTTAACCTTTCATAAAAGTACATATCTTACATGTTATAACAAATGCAAGTCAAGCATGTAACATATAAGAACCATTGTTCCCTCTTTGGTCCAAAGGGTACTAAAGATATCCAAATTCAAATTTCATTGTTCACTTTTCCTGAAAAAATATCTAACCACATATGAACAAGTGACTAATATTTGAGGTGATGTACATGTGATATTTATGTGCAGGAAGAAGGATGGGTGGTGTGTAGGGTATTCAAGAAGAGATTAGCAGCAACAATGAGGAAAATGGAAGATTACGATTCTTCGCCTTCTCATTGGTACGATGACCAGCTCTCTTTCATGGCCTCCGAGCTCGATTCCAATCCCCCAAGTCGGACTCTTCGCAACCATCATAATTATAACCGCCACCATCACCCGCAGCCATTGCCTTATGGCCTCGATGCATCTTCAGCTTATACCTTCAACAATAACTTGCAATGCAAGCAAGAGCTGGAGCTACATTACAATCACATGGTACAATATCAGCAACAAAAAAATCATCTTGATGAATCTATGTTCCCCCAGCTTCCCCAGCTTGAAAGCCCTTACAATAATCGCAGCTCTCTACCTTATGGATCAAGCAACGATGGTAATAACACAAGAAATATTGATAACTTGCAGCAATCATCAAACCTTACTCATGAGGAAAAAATGCATCAAGGAAACCAAGCGAGTACGGATTGGAGAGTTCTTGATAAGTTTGTTGCTTCACAGCTAAGCAACGAGGACGTTGCAGCTAATGCTTCTACTTCTACTTCTACTCATACAAACAACAACAAGATGGACGCAAGAAACACTGATTATCAAGTGCATGAGGGAATGAATATGCTGGAGAATGATTCGGAAAGGGTTGTCGAGATGGGAGAAGCATATGTAAATGCTCATGCTGGTTATAATTCTTCGAGTTGTCAGACTGATCTCTGGAAATAGTGATCAAAGTGAAGAAGATGCAAGATGCATATATGTGAAATAGACATGCATACTTGTGCTGTGAAGATGATAATGGTGGAGACCGGTTTATAATTATGTTGGAAGGAGAAATAACATGGAGTTATTGCCCCCGATATATAGAGGTTTTGTACATAATAAAAACCTAAAGAATAAGGTATTTTCTCTCGATGATTCTTTTTTCAGTATTGAACTATATATATGCTATATGCATGCATGGATGTCTGGATGTATGCATGTATGCATGTAGTTGATGCATCTATGTTTGTATTGATCATGAACCGTATATTCATGCTTAAATTTGTATAATAACCATATGAGTTATGGTTTAAATGTGAAATCAATCCCTGTATGAAGAGAGGACAATTTCGTTTTAATAAAAATTTATACTTCTAGTTTGTTTACTGATACATACTTGATGTATACTCGATTTATGTCACTGATATTAGTATTTTTTTTCGTTTCGTTTACTCACATAATTAATTATTGGTTTCTAATGTGAAACTTAAAAGTATATTAGAAAAGGTTTGATACTCTCATCTATTCAAACGTAGTTTACTAGTAACATGTGCATTACAAAGCCAAATCAAAGAGATAGTTATAGTCTTTCAATAAATTTGACATTACTATTCACTTCCTTGATTAGAAAGAAAAGAAAAGGTGTACAAGAACGTAGTTGATCAGCAAGACATGTTTATTTTTGGAATTATATATAAACCAAACTGAGTTTATTTAGACTGACTTACACATTTTTATAAATATACCAAAAATATTCATAACTAATTTACCAACTGATTTAATTGACTTACCACATTTTAGTTGTTATGGATGGGAAACAACTTACAAGAAGCATGAAAGAGGGAAACCAGATTATTATGTATGTAATGGGGGTGAAAGATAAGTAAGGATGCATTGTTTAAAGAACCCCAGTGTCGTTGTAAATTTGTTTTGCTTATGACATGTTGGATCGAGAATATACATATATATAGATAGGGATGCAAGTGCCGAAAAAGGACGATACAAAAGCATGCTTTGTCCAAAACAAAAGCATGCTTTGTCATTAGAAATTTTATAATTATAATGCTTAATTCAAGGGAGGCAGAAAAGACAATATATTAAAGGTAACATCATTCTTCCTCGAAGTCATTAGCTATTAGAAAAGGCACTATGTTAAACATAATCTAGAAGATCACATACTATATACAAAAAAAAAAAAATTTATCACAGGGCGATTTATATACATATGTTTGGATTCTAACATCAACCTATATATTTCGTTAAAGTTAAAAGGATTCTACAGTTAACTATGGGGTTCGAATCTTATACAATTCAATTTTTTTATAAATTATAGGATGTGAAGAGGTTTCAGAATACTGAAGATATTCTACAGTATTTGAATTTAAAATACTAGTATAATAGTTAAAATTAAAGGATTCTACAGTTAAGTATAATGTTTGAATCTCAGACAATGCATTTTTTTATAAATTATAGGATGTGAAGATTATCAGAGGTTCCAGAATACTGAATACTGAAAGTAGAGCCGTTTGTTTATCATTATCGCATTTGTTAAAAGTAGATGATCATTATGTAATTGATTTAGAAAATTATATTATGATGTAACTATTATCCAATGTTAAAAAATACATTATATAAGTTCATCTCCTTTGTTGAGAATATTAGATTTTATTTTGACAATATATTTGTGTGAAACACCCGACATTTTCCTTAGTAAACAATACATGCGATTAATATTACACAATCAAAAAAATTAGTGATTAGTAAATTTATTTCATTATAATTTTGTGAAGGAACATCATGATTTGGGCGTGCCCTTTGGGATTGACACACAACAGCCCCAGTCCAAGGGAACCATCGACATTGTTCTGTCTATAACAATAAAAAAATTGACCATCATTAGACATTGATCTTGCCATCTAAAAATAGCATTACTCAGATTAAGGGAGCATTATATGAGAACAAACCATGTGACGTGTTATCATATTGGTTTTCTTACTTTGGTGCGTTTAAGCCATAAATGACAAATCCCAAGATCTCAAGAGTTGTATGTATAGCCTAGGCAATGTTTTTTTCAAGCTCCATGTGTCAAATTCACTATTTAAATAATATAGAAACCGTTGGGTCATTATTTAGAGAGCCATCGATTTGTTTTAAAAAAAGAATTTGAATACATGAAAGTTTGGAGTTGAACCCCATAATCCCCTAGTCCAAAAATCATATCATGTAATATTAATTTTTTTCAGTGATTACTCGAACCGTGGATCTCTGAAACAATGGCCAGCTTGGTTTCAACTTTTAAAGTACCCAATTCAGATTAGTTCAAAAAATTTTACATCACAATTTGTAGAAAGCATATATAGAATGTGTGACAAAATTAGAACCAAAGATTTGTTAACTTAGGCTTCAAATGGTAAAAGCAGATCAAGCGGTGCAGATGAAGCGGTTCATGCAGATCAAGCAGGACAAGTGCAGATAAAGCAGGACAAGTGCAGATCAAGTGGATCAAGCAGGAGAGATGCAGATCAAACAATTTATCATAAATTATGAATGACAAAATAAGTTCAAAACTATAGATCATATATTAAAAGAATAAAATTATACCAAATATCAATATAAATATTTAAATGTTGTAGGATCAGCCTAAATGTTTATTGGATTTTTGATAAGATGCTTGTAGCGTTTTAGTTGATCAATATTATTTTTGAATAACAAACATCTTAATATTTAATTCTTTGTTAATATTTATATATAAAAATGAGATAAAACAGATTAAATAATTTATTATAAATTATAAATGATAAAATATGTTCACATTATATATCATATATTAAAATAATAAAAATTACACCAAATATCAAAACAAAATATTTCAGATGTTGTATGTTCAGCCAAAATGTATGTAAAAATTTTATTAGATGCTTATACTTCTTCTATTTATTAATTATTTTAAAATATAAAATAATTATTTTTTTTGTTGACACTTATGTAGAAAAACTTATATTTTTCGTGGAAAATATTGTGTTTTTTGGCGATTAGACATCATGCTTATAACTTTAAAATGATACAAATAATATTAATGTGAACTATATACTTTGAGTTAATAATTATACATTATTTATAAAATCAAATAAATATATTTTAAAGTTAAGTGTTTGTAATAAAACTATTTATTAATAAAAGGAAAAAAAAAGGCAAATCAACACCACCAAATGTTAGCGGATGGGATCTGCATGCAGATCTCCTGCTTTTTCTACTAAAAGACAAAAAAAATTGAACTGCATGCGGATCTCCCGCTTGAACTGCTTTCACAAACAAAAAATGGTGAATGATAAACATAAGGCAGAAGAACTACCTATTGCGGGAGAACTGTTTGATCTGCTTTTGTCCTGTCCCTCCCATTCATAACCTTATTCGAGGAACATTTAATTGTTTCTTATCATACATAGTTTCTTTTTGGAGTTTGGATGAATTAATGAAAGTTACCTGATGGTGTTTAATTTTTTAATTGGAAATTTATTATAAAAAATTATTCAGTATGGCTAAAATCGTTGAAAATCTGTTAGAAATTAACTTTTAACAGATTGTCTATCATCAAAACTATTATTTGGGGTTTCAAATTCATCAAAAATCTCTCAAATGTTGTTTTCTAAACTCCTTTAGAAATGAAAAAAAATGCTTGTAAATTCATGATTATCTAACTTCCTGATGGAGATGTTCCCCAAAATCGTTGAAAATCTTTCTAAGACTTTTCTATTGATATATCAGTGGGAGTCGAGCTGGAAGAGAAGATACGTCTTAGATAACCCACAAGATGTTGAATAAAAGGAAAACGAATAGAAAAGAAAAGAATGTAACTTAACCAGGGATGTTTTTATCAAAAAAAAATTAACCAGGGATGACCTTAAGATTTTGGGTTTATAAATTATTTTAAAGATTTTGAGATCATAGGCTAGTGCTGGATTTCTCTATGCCGATAAACGTTCCTGAACTTAGAACATTTCTAATCTCATTCTATTTTTTACTTCAGAATAAATTAGAGTAAAAAATATTTTAATCCTATTTTTTACTCTATTATAAAATGAAATATGAGATTACTCTATAAATAGAATAATAATTTTATTTCTGCTTCATTATTCTAGTTACCATTCTAAAATAGAGTAGGGTTTTAGGGCATCTACAACCATAACACCAAAATTTGGTGTTGAAATTACACCAAATTGAAATTACACCAAATTTAGTGTTTTGAGTAGAATGTTTTTGGTTATCTCCAACCATGACACCAAACATTACACCAAAAGTAATATTATATATTATTTCTATTTTTCAGTTTTAGTCATTTTTATTTTTTTTATTATTTGTAAATGATATTTATTTTTATCCCACTTACATATTATAATTATTAAATTTTTTTAATTTTATGTTAGTAAAATTTATACATTTATTTGTTTAACAATATTATATTTTGTATTTATTTTCTATATAATACTATATTATATTAAAATTTACAAACTATTAATTATAAAAAGCACATAACAGAATAATATATATATATATATATATATATATATATATATATATTACTAAAAACGTTATTAAATAGTAATGCAAGTTTAACTATATTATAAAATAAAATAAAAAAATAAAAGGTTATTTCAATATTTGGTAAATTTAATAGTATTACATAAAGAGTAATTATTTGTTATTCAGTCTAACTTAACAATAATTTAATATTATGAGTTGTTCATTACCGATTAAACTTAAAAAAAAATTATAAACAATATTTTAAAATAAAAATATTTTACAATATAAAATTTCTTTGATATATTTTTAAAAAATATATAAATATAATGAGAATAATCAATTATTCATTTTAAAATAAAATATTGTCAATTAAGTAAAAATAATTAAAAATATAAATAATATGGTATATTTATATATAGTTACATAATGAATAATACTAATTGAATTATATTATTAAGTGAAATATAATAAAATATACGTATTAAATATTCGGTGAGATGAATAGTGTTATACCAATTCTACACCAAATTTGATGGGATAATGTAATTTTTGGTGTTCCGTTTAAGATGAAATCACATTAAATTTGGTGTTTTAGTGTCCTATTCGAGTTGGCTTTAGTAAGTTTAACATTATAATATAATTATTCTATTTTGTTTTAAAAAATGAAGATGCATGTTCTACCCATGGAAGATGAGACAGATGTTGTGCAATACCCCAGAAGGTGAAAGAAAAAAAGTTAATTCTTTTTGTGCCCTTTTTGTCTCTCTCTACACCATAAGTTTCAAACTTTCAGACAAACACTGAACTGTATCCTAATCCGAACCGAGATTACTAACCACAAACGAATTTCAAACTGAAAAATTAACCGAAGAGAATTATAATCTCCAAGCCAAACCTAGTTTTTTAAAGCTTTCCTTCAAAAAAGAAAACCTAGTTTGTTAACCACTCAATCATGCAAATTACTACCGGTTCGATTCAATAGTAATCGATTCAACATTAAACACCTAAACCGAAATTAAACCGGTTCGTTTATAGTATTCGAATCAGATGCGGAGGTCAAAAAATATGAAAACAATGTAGAGATGGCTTGCTACACGGCGAAGAGATGTTGCATAAGAAAGAAACTCGCAGCTAAGGTTTCATGACAGGTAAAAGATTGAGTTACAATTTTTGTGTGTGCACATTGTCTCTCTTTAGACCAGACGTGAACATTAAACCGAACCGGAATCGAACAGAGATTACAAACCACAAACGAATTCCACTCTCATTGATAAACTGAAAATTAACCGAAGAGAGTTAAACAAAGCCTAGTTTCTTTGGATTACTGTCGATTGGATTCGATAGTATTCGGTTTAATATTAAATATTAAAACCGAAATTAAACCGGTTTTTGTTTCTCAAATTCTCGGTTAAACATTCCCACAAAAATTCCGAAACAGAGACGAAGGTTAAAAAATATCTCCAAACAATGCAGAGATGGCTTGCGACGACGGCGAAGAGATTACTTCACCGGAATCTCCCACTAAAACCTAACCCCAGAACATCTCTTCCTTCCTCGGCCTTCCGCCATTACCGGACACAAGCTTCCTCTACCCCAATTGATCTCCGAGAGAGAAACCCAAACGACGCAATCGAATTATTCAACAAAATGGTGAAATCTCCCCCTTACCCATCAATCATCTCCTTCACTAAACTCTTAACCTCCCTCGTAAAGTCCAAACGATACGACGTCGTTATCTCCCTAAGCCAAAAGATGGAAACTTTAGGGATTCGAAACGATCTCTGCACGTTCAATATCCTAATCAACTCTCTCTGCAACTCTTATCAACTCTCTCTCGCTCTCTCTCTTCTTGGGAAGATGCTGAAACTCGGGTTTGAGCCGGATAACGTCACGCTTGGGACTCTTGTTAACGGCTTCTGTCGGAAAAACAGAGTCTCTGAAGCTGTGTCCTTTATTGAGAAAGTGGTTAAGTTAGGATATGGAGTCGACATTGTTTCCTACAACACGGTTATTGATAGTTTCTGTAAGAGGAGACAAGCTAATGGAGCTTTGAGTTTCTTTAAACGGATTGAAAAGGAAGGTGTTGTTAAGCCTAATGTGATTACTTACACTTCTTTGGTGAAGGGTCTTTGTAATTTAGGGAGATGGAGTGACGCGGCGTTGTTGTTGAGTGATATGATTAAGAGGGAGATTAGTCCTAATGTTGTTACTTATACTGCTTTGGTTGATGCGTTTGTGAAGAATGGGAAGGTTTTGGAGGCTAAGGAGTTGTATGAGGAGATGATTAAGATGAGTATAGAGCCTGATGTTGTTACTTATAGTTCGTTGATTAATGGGCTTTGTATGCAGGAGCGTGTCGATGAGGCTAGTGAGATGTTTGGTTTGATGGTGAGTAGAGGTTGTTTTCCAGATGTGGTGAGTTATAATACGCTTATTAATGGGTTTTGTAAGGTGAAGAGAGTGGAGGATGGGATGAGATTGTTTCGGGAGATGTCGGAAAGAGGGTTGGTTAGTAGTATAGTTACTTACAATACTCTGATACAAGGTTTTTTTGAAGCAGGGGATGTTGAGATGGCTCAGGAGCTTTTTAGTCAGATGGGTTCTCCTGATATATGGACTTATAATATTTTGTTAGGTGGGCTTTGTGATAATGGGGAGCTAGAGAAAGCGTTGGTGGTGTTTGAAGATTTGCGAAAGAGTGAAATGGAACTAGACATTGTCACGTATACTATCATTATCCATGGGATGTGTAAGGCTGGTAAGGTTGAAGAAGCTTGGGTTTTGTTTTGTAGTCTCAGCGTCAAAGGAGTGAAGCCTGATGTTGTAGCATATAGTATAATGTTGTCCGGGTTATGTAAGGAAGGCCTACATTGTGAAATAGATGCGTTGTATTTGAAAATGCAAGAAGACGGGCTTGTGCTGAAGGATGGCACGCTATGTCTTAGAGATGGTGACATAACTGTATCAGCCGAGCTTATTAAAGATATGTTGACCCGTGCAACATCTGAGGGGTGCAAAAAGGTTGTTACTCTCTTGTAATTGTCACTGTGGTTAGGATTTGGTCTTGCAAACTACTCATCTGTTTTCAGCGGTGAATGAAATCACTAGCACTACTTGGTGTTTCTCTCTAGTTCGAGGTGAGAGATTCTCGATTTGCTTAATCCAATAATTGAGGATGGCGAGTGAATATCCTTCTGAATTTCCGATCTTGACGCTTGAGGTGAAATTTCTGCCTACTTTATATCAACATCTGGTTCCTGCCCTCTTTGTCTCATCTTTGCCTAGTCACATCTTGTGGTAACTACAAATATTTTTCCAGTTTTGACAATATAAGTATTACTTGGCTTTCCTCAAAACCAATGGAAGTGTTACTGTAGATGAACAGAACACACGTAAACAGTCTTTTGTTCTTTCTCATACAATGTGAGTACTTAAAACCGTTTGGTTACGCAGGGCAGGTACTCAGGAACAGAGGAATGTATGTAAAAGAGACGTAATTGGCTAACCGGCATGAGGAACAATGAGCATCACTAAGTTTCTCAAGATTTCCCTCTATGTGCATTATTATAAGGCCATGAAGTTGTAAAAAGTTCCTTAGGAGTTGGGACAAGTAATAGTGTATTCTCCATCATACAAACAGTTACATCTCAGTTAAAATTAAAGCATCTTGTATTCATTGAATCTGTTAAAGGTTTAACTGAAAAGAATAGTTTGGATGTGGTATTTGTGAGGGATAAAGTTCACCTCTAAGATTTTTAGATTAGGTTCAGATCAGAGAAGAGTAATCGTGGGATGAATCCCGTGAATACTTGACGAATGAAAAGATAATTTATATTGAATACTTTTGTGAGAATGAATTACAAAGATGATATAAGTGACTGCCGGAGATAGTGAAAAATAAGAGCTATCGAAATATGTAATCTCCTATGAGTAAAATGCTGGATCCCCTCCTTTCTTGTTATTCTCCTTCTTATATAGTTTCTAGCTTCATGTGATTGTTAGTTGATCGTCTTCTCGTTTAGGATTCAGGTCCCGGTGGACCTTATTTCGGCCCATCGTCACCTTTAATTGTGTAGCTGAAACAGATCCAGCTATCGGACCGTATTTAGGCCAAACAGTTGCCCCCAGCTTCCGAGACTAGGTTTCCTATCTTGGAAGCTAGACCTAGGCGCCGCTTGATCTCAACACTCTTGTCAAGATAATGACTGTGCTTTAAAAATATTTTTTTTTTTAACAAAGAATATTCTTTTTAATCTGACGGTTACGATTGTGCTCAGCACTTTCGACGGTTCGGATTAACGGATTTCAAATAAGTATCCCCCTTTTACCGAGGCTCGATGCGATATAAAGCTGCAGTTATTAACTGCAACTCTCTCCACTTCTCCACGCTTTCGGTTTCCAAGGTAACTTCCCCTCTCTCTTATTTTAACTCTAGTTAGTTCTATTTATTATCGTTTGTGACTCTTCTTCATCCTCTCAAGCCTTTTGATCTCGAAGAATTTGGCTCTTGTATATCAGAGATCCTTCTTTTTTTTTTTGTTCTTCGATTCCTGATTATGTCTAGGCGAGAAGGTTCAGGAGAATCTCGGCCTTCCGCTTCCGGTGCTCGACTGTTGAAGGTCAAGCAAGAGGTGGGTGAAAAGATGAAGAAGACTGACAAAAAGAAGAAAGCCAAGTCGGCGGTGGTTCCGAGAGCGTCCAAGCGTCTCAAAAAGAACGATGGTTCTAGCGGGAGCGTTCCCTCTGGCTCGCACCTTCCCTCTGTTTTGACAGCTCAGGAGGTCGTGAATCTTATGGTTCAAGCGCATGCTCCGAAAGAGATGGGGCGAGTTTGTAAGCCCGATGAGAATCCGGAGACGGTTCCGGAGGGTTGGTTCTGCATTCATGAGAATTATATCTCCAAATGCCACCTCCGGTTCCCTCTCCCGGATCTTTTACTAGATCTTTTAGATCATTACGAGCTGTCTCTTTCTCAGCTCTGTCCGTCTGTTATTCGAATTATAAATGGTTTTATCACCAGAGCCAAAGAGGAAGGCATCTCCGTTGGTCTCAGTGAGTTGATGAGTCTCTTTGTCTTAAAGGAGAGCTCATCGAAGGAAGGATGTAGCGGGACCTTTTATCTTCCTTTTCGTCCCACACTAGGCATCTTTAAGTTCTCGTGTAGTGACGACGACTGGAGAAAAAAGTACTTTTATGTGAAAATTGATCCCTCGACGGTTCCTGTGGGTCGAGGTCTTAGGTCGATTTGGTCTGACGCTGCTGGTTAGGACTAGTTAGAATTCGTGCTTGTTTACTTTTTATTTATCGTGCTTTGACAGTTGCTTGGTTTCGCTTGCAGAGATTGACGATCCTCCTAGGCTATCCAGAAAAGTCACCAGAGCTCTTTACCAAGCATTGCAGCAGAGTCCTTGTACTTGGAATTCTTATACTACCTTGAGGATTGGGTCGGCTCGGTTTCCAGAACGATACAGAGCTTCTTTTCAGGATCCGATCCCCGTAGCGAATTTAGAAGGTATTTAACATTTCTATTCATTGTTTGTCATGTGTCTTATGACGGAAAATATATATCTGATGGACTTGTTTTATGTAGTTTCTGAGGGAGCTTCTGTGGTGTCTTTGTCGACCGAAGCTAGCACATCCGAGACCGAGAAAACTCAGCTAAAGATGTCTCTTAAGCCGTCGTTCCGTTCGAGAGGAAGGCCAGCCAAAGGTGGCAACACCCCTAAAGGCGATGACAAGACTCAAAGAGGTGCTTTCCTTGACTCCCTGAAGGATGTCCTACATGATGAGGGGTCCGAGCACTTAGCGTGCATCCCTCTTGCTGACACTCAGGGAGCTCAGGATGTGCCTCCGCCTGTGGGGGTTCCAGCTGTCGAGACTAGCCCGGAGCACGAGGTCGAGCTTCCCCGAAGTAAGAGGTCCAGGACAGACCAAATTGAGAGGCCTTCTAGATCCTCTTCCTCGCCCTCACGTGGAGGTACCGTGGGTTGGAGTTTTACGCACTCCAAGCCAGGGTCGATATTGGAAGATCCGTGGGGTTTGGCCACGTTAATGAGGCACATGAAGAGGCCAGGATGCTCTCTTCCCCCGGTTAGTAACCTGACGAATCGCGAGGAATTTATTGATGTTTCCCATCATTTGGGTCAGGTATGAAATCTTTTGTTTCCTTCATTGTTATATTGTAAAAGAGCTGATGGTATTATTCTTATGTTTTTGTAGCTGGCTGGTGCAATTAACAGAGCGCAGCTCAAGCTTGAGGATACTCTGAGCCATGCTCCTAACGCTGGAGAATTGGCTCAGGTCAAGGAACTCTTTAAAACGACCAAGGGGGAACTCGATCACGCTAAAGGTCAGGTCTCGTTGCTTCAGGCCGAGGTTGAGAGACTGGGTCTGAAGGCCGATACTCAACAGGGAAAGATTGAGAGTCTGGAGATCGATCTCAGGGTCAAGAACAGGAAGGTAAGTGAGCTGGACGCTGCTCGCAAGATTGCCGAGGCACATTTGAAAGAAATGATCGCTTCATCTCAAGTTAGTCAACAGAACAAGGAAGCTGAAGTGAAGCTTGCTGTTCGGAGAGGAAAAAAGGAGGTGATTGAAGCCTATAACAAGGTTCTTGCCTCGGTCAAAGAGAAGTTCGTGAAGAAGAAGGAGGAGGTTGAACTCCAAATCTATGCCCAAGAGATTCAGGCCAACACCGACCTTCTGAAGGATCTGCTTGCTGAAGAAATTAACAATGCTCAGGAGGAGTACGATCGCCTTGTGGCCATGGTGCCAGACGCGATTACCGCGTATGAGAAAGCTCAAGTTTCTGATTTCTCGATCAGTAAACTTCCCCTGCCTCAAATCTCTGAAAGCTCAGGTACTTTCGAGATCAATATGTTTAATCCATCGTTTGCCGGAGAATATGGATCTAATTTAGGTTTAATGGGTGTTGATTCAGCCCCAGTTGACATGGTTCCTGGGGGAACTGATGCTGAGACAGTTACGGGGGGTCCGACCAAGGAGATCGATGCTGCTGACGCGGAGGATGGCTCTAAGGAGCACGAATGAATGAGAGCTTCGAGCTCTTCTTTAATTTTCTGTTATGTTTCTGTTAAACTCTTGCCCTCGCGGCTTTTGGTTGTTTAAACTTATGCCTGAGGAGGCCTTTAAACCTTTTCGCTATATTTTCAGACTTAATAGCCTGAGGAGGCCTTTAAACCTTTATCTCGTTTTTGCTTTAACTTGTCTTGATTCGTAGTAGGAATTTGGGGTCAAATGTACATCTTGCCCCCAAATATGGTGAAGTTGTTCTTGACTGTAGAACTTAGTTTCCATACTCTGTTTAGTAGTGGGTTTCATGGTTTCAGGAACCTGAGTAGTTCAGGGTTTTCGGGGACCTGTTTGGATCGAGGCTTGTTTCGTTAGAAATTGACTGGGAGGATTTCAAAACCTTCGATGTTGCTAAGGATTTTACGGCCTTAGGTTCGGATTTGTTATAATCTGGATTAGTCTTACTAGGGTTTTAGGACCTTAGGTTCGGATTCATCAAGACCTAAACCTTTTGTTGGGATTTTGAGACTTTGAGCTCAGGTTCATCGAGATCTAAACCCTTTGTCAGGATTTTGAGACCTTAGGTTCAGATTCGAGGGAGTCTGAGGTGGTGGTTAGGATTTTAAGACCTTAGGTTCATGTTCGCGGAGACTTAAACCTATTGTTAGGATTTTAAGACCTTTGGTTCAGGTCCGTCGAGACCTAAACCTCTCGTTAGGATTTTAAGACCTTAGGTTCAGGTCCATCGAGACCTAAACCTCTTGTTAGGATTTTGATACCTCAGGTTTAGGTTCGCGGAGACCTAAACCTATTGTTAGGATTTTAAGATCTCAGGTTTAGGTTCGCGGAGACCTAAACCTATTGTTAGGATTTTAAGACCCTGAGCTCAGGTCCATCGAGACCAAAACTGATATTTTAGGATTTTAAGACCTTTAGTTCAGGTCTTCGGAGACCTGGATAATTTCGAGAGATTGTTTTAAGTTATCTTGAAATGCGAGGCGATTTGAATAGTTATTTTTATTGATGATATTTACAGAACGCATAACATTTGTACAGATCAATAATCCGGGCTATGTGTTTTAGCTGATCACATGCCCCCTATGAATATGTAAGTAATGGTGGAATTGGATTGGGGCTGCACTCATGGGAGTTGCCTACGTACCCAGTCAAGGGATCAAGCCAAACGTAGTTCAGGTAATTTAGGTACCTAGTGGTAATACTTCTTGAGATTGAATGCATTCCATGATCGAGGTACCCCGGTTCGCACTTTTTCAAGTTTGTAGACGCCAGGTCGTACTACATGGATGATCCGATAGGGACCCTCCCAGTTGGTTCCTGACTTTCCAGCTTTTGGTTCTTTGGTACCGTTGAAGACTTTCCTTAGTACTAGGTCACCAACGGAAAATTGTCGAATTCTGACCTTGGAGTTATAATGTCGGGCCATCGCTTGCTGATAATTTTGAATGCGAAGCAAAGCTTTGTCTGGTCGTTCCTCGATCAAATCAAGGTTATCTGACAGGAGTCTATTGTTGATTTCGGGATTAGCCGTACAGAGCTCTCGGCGGAGACTCCCAATTATGGTTTCGGCGGGGACGACGACTTCCATCCCGTAAGCTAGAGAGAAAGGAGTTTCCTCAGT